CAAACACCAAAATCCAAAGTAAATGGGCCTGAGGTCCATTTTCCTTACATCCGAGTGTTAAAAAAACACTCGGCAAAGAAATAAAATCTTTTTTCTGAAAAAGAAGGAGAAGAAAAAAATGAAAAAAAACTTTGGCGAGTGCTCAGATCTAGAACACTCGGCAAAAAAGAGAGAAGAAAACAATGAAAAAAAACCTTTGCCGAGTGCCCCATCTGGGACACTCGGCAAACAAAAAAATATCCTACTTAACCCACCCCCATCCCCATCGCCCCCACCCCTTCTTCTTTCCCTCTCCTCCCGGTCCCCAGCGCCCCTCTCCTCCCGACGGTGCCGCCTCCCTCCCCTCCTTCCCCTTCTTCTTCCCCGCCGGCCCCTCCCCTCCCGCTTCCCCGGCGCGGCCCCTCCGCACCGGCGAGATCCAGTGGCCGGTGCTGGCCCCTCCTTCCCTGCCCTCCTCCCGCCAGCGGCCGGCCCGTCCCCTCCTTCCCCTTCTTCTTCCCCGTCGACGGCCGGCCCCTCCCCTCCCTCCCCTTCTTCTTCCCCGCCGGTGGCTGGCCCCTCCCCTCCATCCCCTTCTTCTTCCCCGCCGGATCCAGCCCCTCCCCTCCCTCCCCTTCTTCTTCCCTACCGGATCCGGCCCCTCCCCTCCTCCCTTCTTCCCCGTCGGATCCGGGCCCTCCCTTCTTCCCCGGCTCCCCCCTCCCCTACCTTCTTCCCCGGCGCAGCCTCCCCACCGGCGAGATCCGATGGCCGGTGCCGCCTGCTCCCTCCCTCCCTCCCCCAACGTCGGTCTTGGGCTCGGTGCGAAGAGTCTCGCCGCGGTGGTTCGACGAGGCGGCAGCGTGGTGGTGGTGCTGCTCACTATTAGGCGTCCGCAACTCTGCATTGTGGTGAGCACGAAGCGGCATCGAGGATGGAGGCTCTGCAACGATGGTTGCCAAGAGAGCTAGCTTCCGCTGTGCCGAGATGGGTTGAGCTCAGGGCTCCGCGGTCGTGCCATGGCTGCGTCGCTGCTACGGTGACGAGGGATGTGGCGTGGTGCGGGCGGCAGTAGTAGGCGTGGATGGTGGTGGCGGGCGTGGATGGTGGTCGCGGTGGCGGTGCTGGTGGTGCGAGTGTGGTGTCAGCGTGCCTTTTTATTTTTTTTGAAAAAAAAGTTTGCCGAGTGTTTTTGGGTACTCGGCAACGTCTTTGCCGAGTGCCCGACAAAAAACACTCGGCAAACTAGCGTTTGCCGATAACAAGTTTACTGAGTGTCGTTTGCCGAGTGTAACACTCGGCAAACCATTTGCTGAGTGTTTTTGGGGCTTCGTCGAGTGCTCCTGGCACTCGGCAAAGCTCCTGTATCCGGTAGTGGGTCGAGGAGATGGCGGCGGCGCCGTCACGTCAAAATCTCCCCTAAGAGCCAAGTCGGTGCTTCGGTGCCGTTGCCTTTCCCGTGGCAGGGCCACGATGCTGTCTTCGGATGCCTTCGTCGACAGGCACTTCAACCTCACCCCAATTGCCACCGCGAAGTTCTTAGGCTTTGCTTCCTGCCGCGCTTGGCCGTCGCATCGATGGTGTATGCGAGGTCGCCAGAGCTCAGGAATGGCGTCTTCATGCCACTAATGCCTATCCTGCACAACAGTCGCAACGGCAAGCTACACCCTTTTGCCACGGTGTCCTCCTCCTGCGCGCGACGGCCGCGAGGAAGTACTACCTCTACAACCCATCCGTGGGACAGATCACCGCGCTCCCCTACGGCCACAACTCTCTGCATCGCATGCCGCCTTACCATCGGCACCAACCGCGCAGAGGAGCCCATGGCGAGGTGAGCCCAGAGTTATGTCAGGCCTTCTCTTTCCCTCTCTTTCGAGTTTGTGTGCGATGTTCAAGAAACGGTCGCCACCGTCTTCTTGTTCGTCGTGGAATCCCACCGACATCGCTTTTCGGCCACCAGCAACAGGCCGTAGAACTCGTGATGACGTTGCGGTGCTATAGAGCCCCTTTGCACGCACGCGAGGAGAACCACCGGTGAGAGATCGCTGTCTTGTTGTGCTGCATCCATGGCTGTGTTCTAGACTCGACGTCGCCAGTTAACAAGGAAACCGCCTGCCAGCCGGCGTTGGTTTGAGAGAATCCCCAGCTCTTTTCTATTTTTACACGAGAAAATGTCAGTCTTAGTGATTTATAGAGAAAGTCCCAAAACATCGTTTTTCTTAGAAAAATGCCCTACAACTTACGTCCATGAGTTCGTATAGTGACAAGTTTTTCCCATTGCAATGCATAGGCGAGTCCTTAACACGTTGCAACTAACACCTTGTCGGACTTTATTTAGATATTAGAATTATATCTTTATGGGTCCACAAAGAAAGTCGTTAACTCAATGTTTAACTGTACCAATGCATATACTATAAAATAGAAATTTTATGATATATTTACGATTAAATATTTCTACGTGCTTTGCAATGGGATGACAAACCGTCGGGATAGTATTTTAAAACTGATACAGACTCCATAGGGCATTATTATATTATTGCAGATGTTAACTTATATTATGGATGTCTTATTCAGCATATCATTTCCCATGAATATTCAGTAACTCTTTTCTTCCGTTGCAACGCACTTGCATATTTGCTAGTGGATACATATATCGTGAGCCGTGTTCGTATCTGAATCGAACTCGATGGTGGACGATAACATTAACATAAACATCTGTTCTCTACCTGTCTTATGTCTTTCTTGTCTTTGTCTTTTGTTGCAACTATAAAAACGGTAATGCTTGGTTGAGGGCGTCCGTCCAGACGGACCAACCCCCGCGCACATGATGACCTAGAAAAAAAGAAGCGGGGCGCGTAGTTGCAGTCAGGCGGGGCCCGCACCGGTCCTTTCTGTAGGGCAGCTCATGGGAGCTCGTGCGGCCACTCGTTCGGTGTGGAGCGCGGGGTAGGGCATGGGAGCGCATGCGGCCTTGCTCGGCATGGGGTGCATATGGCGCGTGGGGGGCTGTGCATGCATGGTGACCTGAGAGAGAAGGACCGGGAGAGAGAAGGAGTGCTGGCCCGCATACTCCATGGCACCGAGCTCCGTATGTTTCATGCGTTTAGATGTATGTTTCATATGTTTAATCTGGTGTTGCATGTGTTTCATTAGGATGTTGTATGTGTTTCATCTGTGTGTTTCATATATTTAATATGGATGTTGCAAGTGTATGTTTTAAATATTTCATCTATTCTAGACGTATGTTGCAAGTGTTTTATTTGAATGGTGCATATGTTTCAGTGGCTATATACATATATGTTGCAAGTGTCTATTCAAAATATTTTATCTGTTTCAGACATATGTTGCAAGTGTTTTATCTGTATATTGCATATGTTGTAGTTGATATACACATGTTTCAAGCGTATGTTGCATATGTTTCACCTATTTCAGACGTATATTGTAGAAGTGCTTCATTTTGTGACATTAGCGGGCGCAGGAAGTGGACGCATGCGGAGGCGGTCCCTGCGGCCGCAGCGGTCCCACGTGCGCGGCAAGCGAAGCGGGCGTGGGTGGTCCCTACCTGCATGCACATCAGCAGACAAAAGGCGGGAATCCTTAGGCGCACAACTGCATGCGTAGGTGTACCAGCATTCTGAGGCAGGTGCGCAGGCGCAGCAGCTGCATGCGGGGCAGGCGGTGTAGGCTTAGCAGCATGCGTGGCAGGCGAAACAGACGGGGCGGACGCATGCGTCCGGACGGGGGAGCCACACCACTATAAATAGACCGAGCTGTTATCCTACAACCGGCCTCACCATTGTGCTATCGATCGGGATTTCCACGGAGCGAGTGGGCTTTCTTGTTATGCGTTGGCAGTTTGGCGCGCACTTCACATTGACAGGTGTGACCATCTTCAGGCACGGCCAGATGGAGTCGGCCAGCTGGTCCGTGAAGTTTACCGGCCGCCATCGAGTTCAATTCAGACATTCTCAACAAAAACAAAAGTTCGATTCAGATGCTGACACCGCCGCGCTCATAAGGTTCTTGGATTCATTTGTGTAAAAATTTCGGAGCGCGCCGAATTAGACAAAATTCAGAAAATGCGGACCGTTATCCACTATAAATTTGAATAAAATTTGAGCAAAGTTGAAGCAAACATTCCCAAATTGTCAAACATGGCAATGGGCACGGAGAGCGTGCGTGCAGCGCCAGTGTGGAACGCGTAGACGAAGGGAAGGCTGGCGACGGCGCAATGGTGGCTGCATCGACAAGCGACGGTGCAGCACAAGCACCGGTGGCGCGGCGGCGGGCGGCGAGGTGCGGCCATGGCGCGGGGTTTTTTCTCCTGCCGGCTGTAACGATAGGAATTATACGCTCATTCCTATCGGTTTATGATTCCTGACGGGAATTCCTGTCGGTCAGGCTGACAGTACACTAGAATCGCCGGTGGGTTTAGAACCAACAGGAGTTGCCGTCAGCAATTATTTCCTGTTGGCCGCCTGTCAAGAATTCTCTGTTTTTCCTGTCAAGCTGTTCCTGACTGCTTCCCGTCAGGAATTATATTCCTGACGATTTTGTGTTCTTTCCTGACGGTTTCTGGCCGACAGGAATTTTCGCTGTCTGGTAGTGTAACGACATAGACCGACAAATGTCTTTGTTTCTCTTGCTGGCACAAAGGATCAAAGGGCATCACGCACGAGCTGAGGTAATGCAGTTGCCAGCAGTAAACCCACCAAGTCTTACTACTACTATCCAACGATGTGGAAATAGGAGTTAACGTGAAAGCCACATGATAATGTTAGTTTGTTTTCTACCGCTTGACTGGAGAATTGACATCCGTGGTCCTCAACCTCAAATGTGTACATCAGTACCTTATGATGAATGTTTAAGAAAAGAAGGGGGCTTTCTTGTTAATAATTCCCTAGAATATAGTCACTAGCTAGACGGACTAGAAGAGAGAACAGCCCCCTTACTTACACACAATAGACTACCTCAAACAGAAACGCAGTGGAGTCGTTTCCGAATCAGTTTTTCCGTCGGAGATGAGCCGCCTCTATGTAACTCTCATTGTGATCATCTTTGGATTACTGCAGATGACAGGGCCAGGAGCATCTCTGAATCTCCACTCTAGTTCAAACTCCACGCACCCAAACTGCACGGAGAGATGTGGCAACGTGAGCATCCAATATCCTTTCGGCATCGAATCTGGCTGCTTCCGGCAGTCCGATTTCAGCCTCACCTGCAACGGCAGCGGCAGCAACCAGCCGCCCAAGATCTTTCTGCATGACGGCACCACCGAGGTCTTGGCTGATTCCGGTAACACGGTGGGTCTGTCATCGTTTATTGATGTAGCCATTTCCCACACCATCTTTATGGCACCTGGTATTCCTAGTTACAGCTTCTCGTGGAATCTCAGTTCTTTCACTATGCTTGATGGCTCATTCAACGTCACGGGGTGTGACTTCGATATATATCTTCAAGAACAGTACACGAATGGACCGAATGGTTCCATATCGAGGTGTCCAAATAGCTGCCCCCAAAATATCACCGAGACGGTGGCTAGACAGAACTGCAACGGAACTGGCTGCTGCAGTATTTATGTCGTTGGAACTGATGTTCGTGATTTCACGCTCAAATTTGTGCGCCACAATGGCACTAGAGCTGATCGCGATGCTCTTTCCAATCGAAGCTCCCTGTGGGATAGAATTAATATTACCACCAACTGGGCCGAAATCTACTGGGATATAGTTGATCAACCGACATGCGCCAGAGCCAAGGAAAAAAATATAAACTATGCATGTGTCAGCAACCATAGCGAATGCTCTGACGAAGAATGGTCTAATCTTGGTTACAAATGTAATTGCAACAGTGGTTATGTAGGCAATCCCTATGTACTTGATGGCTGCAAGCGTGACGAAGGTGATTAATCCATTCTACCCAACTAATTTTTTTTTGCGAGTACCCAACTAATTAATTGTGAGGAGTTAAGAACAGAAGCTTCCTTATGATTATCCTGATTGTGGTGACTTACCGTGGTCGTTGCTCGGCGCTTGTCTCGCATGGCGCTGGCAAGTTGGTGTTGCAACGGTGGTCCACGTCATGCTTTGGGTGTGGGTTTGGGAAGTGGAGGACTTTCAGGGGAAAGCCCTACCCAGCTACACGCTGAGGCCTGCAATAATGGAGACACCTTTGGTGCCTTGCTCCTTGTTAGAGGCATTATATATTCTGAGGTCTCCTTCCTAAAGATGGCAACGGGCACAGAATGCCCGCATGCCCGCGGGCATAGAACCCGATGGGCAAGGATACGGGCACCACTTCTTGCCCGCGGGCACGGGCGCGGGCACCATCCTGAGCCCAGAGGATAGTTCTTCACGGGTAAAGAAATTTGCTATCCTCGCCCGCTTATCCGCCAGACCCGCTCCACAGGTCTAACATGTGGGACCTACAGGCAAATATATGTATATATACACGATTTGTTGTGAATATGTATCTTCATATCTCTTGTAATGCACTATGGTTTATGTATATGCTCAACCTGGCGGGCACACATGCATGCCCGCGGGCATTTCATGCCCGCGGATGGAGGGCGCGGGCGTGGTTTGTTGCCCGTGGCGGGTCGCGGGCGCGGGCGCGGGTAAGAGATTTAGCTGGCGGGCGCGGGCATAAGAAGGTAGTATCCGCGGGCATCACGCCCGCTGCCATCTTTACTCCTTCCTCCTAGGTTTGGTTGAAAAATCTTGGTTTTTGTTCAGTGGTGGCAGCATTCCTTCTTGGAGGCATCGTCGTAGAGACCGCACCCACCCCCAAATAAAGCTCCTTGTCTATTTTGGTGGCTTTGCAAGGGCGCCTGTTTCCCAATGCTTTGGTGGCTAGCAGGCAATATTTTGTCGTGGTGGTAGTCTTATTGTTGCTTCTGTTGTGAGGTGGTCATTTTTGTTTGTGGTGTTGTAAGTTGTTTTTTCTCTTGCATGTGGATTTTCGAAAAAAATATAGGTTTGTTATGAACTACTTCACTCCATGTTTTCCAGTTACAGTCCAAAAACTTCATTATGGAGCAACATCTGCAACCCCACCAATTTATGGATCAGAGTTTCTGAGGCACCCATTTACATATACTTCACCAAAATGAACTAGTGAGGCCTCCAGCTCCATACATAGGGTTGACCGCCCAAAAATAGTGGAGCTAGGGTGTTTGGGAGGAAATCCACTTCATAGAGCTAGAAAAAAGTAGAGCCGAGCAGTTCAAAATAGGTCTTGGGTAGTGAAAATTTATACAAAGAGCGCATACAAGGTATGTGAGTAGTGTCTATATATATCAAGTGAAGAATTCAGCCATGTTTCCTATTATATATATAGTATCTATCATTATTTTCACCAGGTGATAGTAAGGGAGTTGTTAGGACCTAAACTTGTGCCAATTATAGTAGAAACTAGGTCCGAGTGTGCTAGTAAACTTCTACTACTTCCTAGTAATTGGATTTCATATAGTTACTCCAACATCTGTTGCCATCAAATAGATTACCAAACTATGTCATTAACTTACCTCTGACTGATTGTTGGATCATCATTTTACACTAAGACAACATGGAAAGTAATTACTACAGAAGCTCATGAATTGTTCACTAATGCAGGATATAGTCCAAGGCAACTAAAGGAAAATTGCTCCCAATGGTGTGGGAATATCAGTGTTCCATATCCCTTTGGTTTAGAGGAAGGTTGCTCTGCAAGGAAGCTATTTGAACTCAACTGCACAAATATGACATCGTCCATGCTCCAGTTCGATGATGGCCATGTTGTGGTCTATATAAATATTTCAGAGAGTCTCGTGGGCATCAGGGTTACCTCATATTTTGAAGATGAGATTGGGATAGATGTATCAGGAGAACCCAATCTTTTTGATGGTTTCGGGGAATCAGTGGTCTCGGTGCATTGGGCAGCTGCCAATCTTACATGTGAGGAGGCCCTAAAAAACAAGTCGCAATACGCATGTGTCAGTTTGAACAGCGAATGTTTAGGAGTTAACTCAAAGAATGATTATGTTGGATATCGATGCAAATGCTTAGATGGTTTCCAAGGAAATCCATATACCACCAGTACTGGTTGTGAAGGTACAATTGTGTTCCTCACCCTCACCCCTATCCAACTTCCATATTTTTCCTTTAATAACTATTAATAGTTTAGCGCTCACTTCGAAAATACAAGTGACCATTGGAAAATTTTCACTCTCCAACCTTTGATTTATAAGTAGGCATAGCATAGTTTTCATTTAAGTCCATGTCTTTGTATGATGGGGTCATCCATTATCTTCTCACTTCTCACTTTTTTATTGGGTTTGGGTAAGGAAATGAGTTGATCCACTACCACCTCATCCTCACAAGCTAATCATTAGTGTGTAAGCAAGAGGCATGGAGTGATCCCACCAAATTTTTTGAGACGTAACTCATAATGTATCATCTCATCTTGGATGGGCTTGCTACTTAAGCTAAGCACCCCCTAAATATTTTATACTTTCTTGACTGTCTACACTTTTGAGAAACACAAGTACATTGGGATCACATAAACACATACACATGAAAGTACATAGGGCGAAGTTAAACACTTCATATCCTATAGACAATGATGGAGTTTCCCACACCTTGTGTTCCTTCTTCTTGATATGAATCTTGGCTAATTCTAAACGGAAGGCTTATGATGTTTTAGCAGAGGTTTGGTCAATTTCTTATTTTAATAAACATTATGTGAAAACATACATAAATGATGCAAATTTAATTGATGGGTCCTTGTGACATGTAAGTATTACATAAAGAAAATCTTATGACAGATGAAAAGAAGACCTATCACTTATGAGGCCTTCGGGTTTGGGACTATGGATGAAAAAGGGATAGATATTTCATGATATCCCTTCACCCTGAAAGGTTTTAAACCCTACTTGGATAATCCATATACGAATCCAGACATTTCATATCCATACCATATTCGAATCTGAATAGCAAAAGTTGGATTTCTAATACATATATGACATAGATATCAATATCCGTTGCATCTGACACTATTTGAATTTGACTCTGAATCCTAGAAAGAAATGACTAACCGTATTCAGTGTCTATAATATCTATTCGTACCCATACGGTTTAGTCCCTATTTGGACTCAACAAAAGGGCCATCGGTAATAACATGTCGCTAATGTTGTTGCTTATATCACCCATCACTATAAATACTAGTTGTAACACCCTATGTATAAGATTCATTTACAACCCTACACCTATGTGGAATGAGCATGCATACACATAGCAAGTCTCCTAGACTTTTGTCCTTGCTTCATGAGGTTAACCTAAAGGTTTTATGTTTGGAACGACAAGAATTATAAGATAGCCAGAACCTATTTAGACAACAAGGTAGGACTAATTCATAGAATAGAACTCACGGGCTGAAGCCAAAACAATATTGAGACCTTATATTACATTATCTCCTTTATGTTTGACACTCTCGATAGCTTACTACATTCAAGGCAGACAAATATCCAAAATATCCCCTCAATACCAAGATTAAAGACCTTTCAAGAATTAGGCATCATCAAGAGTTTAGTGTGCATGATGGTGCTATGTTGATGAACAAATGGTCTAGAAAGCTTGGAAATGTAGTGACGAATCCAATGGAACAAGTTTTGCCTCAATCGGAGCTCATATGGACAAGTTAGAGGTGAAATTAGAAGAATGTACGGAAGAGATGGTCTGACCATGAGAAAAAGGAACTCATGAGACAATTGAAGATGTGTTAGTCTGGTGCCTCTATGTGGAGGGCACTGTTGATGGCGACACACCAAACCGTCTGAGTAGTGATAGATGAGAGCAGCGAACAGTCGACACACAGATAAAGCAAGCTATGGTTTCTAGGAACTAATGAAATGAATGCAACGGACATCTAGCTAGGTGTTTTTGTGATCACAGGACAATTGCCAGGCGGAAGGTGGCTGTTGAAGATTGACTGTGTAGAGGACAATCTGGCTAGTGGAACATGGTGTTCACCAAACAAACGCTAGACAAGTGATGTCACCTAGTCGTTGAAAGTAATACAACTAGCCGTTGAAGGTGCATAGGAGACTGTGTAACTCTATTGCCATTGGTCGGTTGAGCTGTAACACCCGTGTTTTTGCATCATATTAAAATTCACTAAAAATTTGAACTTTTAAAACTTTACAACAAATTAAAACCCTGACTAGTTATTTTCCCATAAGACCATTTTGAAAATATATATTTCCAAAACCCTACATCAAGACCCACCATATGCATTTTGTGTGTCGCGCAGAATTTAGATGTAGCGCTAGGAATAACCCATAGGAATAGAACATCGCTTCGCATTTAAATTCCATTGCCTGCACTTCTTTGCTTGAGTGTATGTTTGAATGCTTGCTCGTTTGATTGCTTCTGGAATTTATTTGCGGCACCAAAATAACTTCACTTAATTATTAATTGCATTTCTGAATATGGAATTAGATAATGCATCATGGATATAAATAGTATTTCACTAGTTATTATGATAGCCATCGCATTAGTAGATTATTGGCTCCCTTCCCAATTTCCATTTAGTTAATCTATATTCATTATGAATCTAGGAATAGGAGATTGTTACTTTTAACTTTCATTAGAATAGATATACTATTTATCTATACTAGAATATTTGAGAATACATCATATAAGCCTATATATACACATATACGTATATCTCATTTCTGGGAATTAGGATATAGGAAATCTGTGTACTCTCCTGAGTGGGCCAAGCCCAGCACCAGCCCTGCCCCAACATGTCACCCTTCCCCTCCTTTCCTCCTTCTCCCCACGATGGGCCGCCTCTGGCCCAGCGCTTCCATAGCCCGCCCACCTTCCCTTCACCCTTCCCCTTCCTGCAATGGGCCTATGGCCGCTCGGCCCAGCGTGGCCAGCAGCCTATCCCAGCCGCCCAAAGCAGCCATCCCCTTCCCTCCCTTCCTCCCACCGACACACAGGACCCACCCGTTAGCTCCATCTCCTCCAAAGGTCAACAGTGGCACTGTGGGCACGTTGCCGCCGCCACTGACGTGCTGTACCCATGTCGCTGCCGCCGCCGACCAACCACCTCCCATCGTTGACGCCGTACCCCTCCGCGTCGCCTTCGTGTCTCGTCGTCACCAGCTCACGCCACCCCGTGCGCTGCTGGTCTCTGCTGCCACTGCCAGAAAATATCTCTCCTGCCAGAGATAGCCTCCCTCGCTGAGCAGACCTACGCGCGGCTATAAATAGCCGGTCGCGGCCTGTCGAGGAGCCTCACCCCATTGAGCTCTCCACGTTAAGGTCATATGAGGACATACCTGGGTGGAACATCTAGAGCTACACAAGGATGGGATACCCGAAGTATACTCGAGGATGGAGTCATACAAGAGAGTTACGCTAGGACTACAACGATTGCGATATAGGAACACGCTATAGGAATAAGTCTAGGGTTACATCCGCACTCCAAGTTGCCTGTAGGAAATGGAGCCACGTCGTCATAGGACCGTTGTCTTAGAACTCTGATGTACGATATAAGGCCAGTGGCCCAAGCTATGTAAACCCAAACCATGTAGCATGTTTTCCCCATTAGCAATAAAAGAAGTATGTGTTTTTATATCAATCTTGTTGAGTTGTGCGTATCAGCTACTGATCCAGGGACTGATACATATGCACAGTGGACCCTTGAATTAGGGGATCGACATGGGCAATCACCATGATCAGAAGATACTTGGTATACCTTGGTGGATCTCCAACATGGACTAGGGGTTGCATTTTTTCATTTGATACCATGGGATAAAAATGATTGTCTCTTTGACAATCTATCTTGCATTACTTACTTGTTCTACCTTGGGTGTTAGTGTTAATTTTGTGCATGAACCATGTGTGTGACAACTAAGATTGCATGCTTGAATGTGCTTAGCTATAGGGCTCAATTTTGCAACTAAAGACAATATCTTAGTGTGCCCTTTGCTAAAGATATGTCTAGTGTGATTGCCCTAAGGACTTGATGTTAGTGTGAATCTTTTAGTCCTTAGGAAAGAAGCACAAGTGGGGTGTGATAGAATTGCATAGGCTAAGGTTTGTTGTGAGTCAAAATTTTAGAGCCCCAATCCCCCTCTTGGGGCCATTCAGTCCTTACACAACCTAGCTCCCACGTGTAGTGAGCCAACATATACATAGCACATATCTTACACTTTCATCCTCACTTCATGTAAAAGGGTTAACATAGAGGTGCAAATTTTAGAATGGCAAAAATCATAAGCTAGTCCAAATCTATTTAGACACTGGCTCGCTCCCCTCCGCCACTACTAGCTCCTCTCCGCAACTATCAGCTCCTATACCACCACCATGGACCATGCTCATTCCTGAATCACCACCGTAGGCCCCTCCTCTATCATGGGCCCATGCCCTATGCATAACTTTCCATCACTAACTTCTCATCCACCACCACCAGCTCATGCTCATCCCAGTCCACCACTGGCTTCCTTCCTTCCTGTGTCCATGCCCATACCTAGTTTTGAGTGCATCAAAACCACCACCGCCTTGTCTTTCACTTTATATGCTTGTGTACCATATGTGAATGTTGTGTCATGCATTGAAGTGTCTTGGATGAAATGGTAGTTGAATGCCCTATACTATAATCACCAATTCGCTTTCCACCAACGATCTAGTCACCAGGACTAGTTTTGTAGCTATGCATCTAGCCCTAGAAACTATATGATAAAAATAAACAAACACCATACAACACACAATAGTTTAGGGGCAATAAGGTCAGAAGAAAGATTAACTCAAGTAAAAGTAACAAGATACATATAAATGTCACCTACAATTATATCTTGAAGATCAATCTAGATAATGTCATGAAGCTCTGAAGGATCAACCACATGGGAAGATCATATCGAATCCTTGCAGTACCGCCATTGTTGCTTGATTTGTAGTGTTGGCACGGTGTTGCCTCCTAGTACGAGGGTTCCCTTCACAACCCTTTGTTTTTTGTTCGCAAAAAATCTCTACCCCAATCGATGTATATGAAATATATAAGGTCTAAAGAAAAATAGCGCAATATGGGGTATGGTTTCTCCATGTGCACACAATGCCAAGCGCTGCTGTGTGCTGCCTGGTATGTTTCCAAATTCCTTTCTCTCCGTTGAAGGTTGCTTTGTTAGCAAGGGATTGACTTGGTAGCTTCCACGGCGGTGGCATCGGGCGGTGTGTGGACACCTGTGTGCGCAAGGGGGGACAACGGAAACGTCAAAACTAGTAAGCTAATTACTCACAAGCATTTCACCGAACACCTTATGTGCATATAACAAAACAACCCAATAACATCGATTCTCCAAACATGGTGTTATCCAAACTTCACAATAAGGAATATACTTGCAAAGATCAGCACACAAACACATCAATCCCCATCATCAACATCCCAAAGAACCCATGTATCAAATCATACCATACACCACTTGAAGAAAGTGGAACCAATAGAAAGCAAGATAGTGAGCAATCAACATATATGGCAAGAAAAATACTGAATCACAAGTAGACACCAAGATTTACAGGAAACCCTTGCAGGGAAAAACCAGCTTATATGATGAACCAGCACGAAACGGTCATAGAGATATTCGTGTTGGTCCGTATTATGACTTTACGAGCTAGCATGGATTATGTTAGTCAAAACTGTATCACAATCCTTTAAAACCCGTTTCTTTCGAGATCCTGCCTGAGAACAATTTCTTAAACATCATAAAATATTTTTTTCACAAACACGCAGACTTGCGCGTTTTTCATTAAGAGGGGAGACATCATAAAATATTTGGCAATACATAGAATGATATGATCAGTGAAGCTTCTCTCAATTCATCCGCTGGATATATGCTTCGCCTTATGCGCTATTGCTTCCAGTAAGAACACTAGGGAAAGCTATTACCATCTTAAACATTTTCGTGTATTGTCTGAAACTGAGATAAAATATTTACTTCCATTTTAGCAATGTTGTTTGCCTTTTATATCATGCTTTCACATTTTACAGTTATTTATATTTCTAGATATCGATGAGTGTCAAATACCAGGCATTTGCAAAGAGAACGAGGTATGCCACAATGTTGCGGGGAGCTATGATTGCACCAAATGCCCTGGTAAAACAGAGTACGATGCAACAACTAAGCAGTGCACAGCAACAAAACGACAGAATCTTCTTTTGGGTATGTTCTCTTCGGTTTTCTGAACTAAGTTCTAGTAATAAATCACAGTATGAAATTGGCAAAAATCTTCGTAGGTGTGATCATTGGGCTTTGTGTTGGCTTTGGCATTCTACTATCTTGCTTGGGAGGGATGCTTCTCATCCGTAGATGGAAAAGGGACATTCAAAGAAAACTACGGAGAAAATACTTCACAAAAAACCAAGGACTTCTCCTAGAACAACTAATATCATCTGATGAGAATGCTAGCAACAAGACAAAGATTTTTTCTCTAGAAGAGCTCAAAAAGGCTACAAATGACTTTGATACATCACGTATACTTGGACGTGGAGGCCATGGAATGGTTTACAAAGGTATCTTGTCAGATCAGCGTGTAGTAGCAATAAAAATTTCAAAGATCATGGAGCAAGATGAAATCGATAATTTTATCAATGAGGTCGCCATTCTTTCTCAGATAAATCACCGCAACATAGTACGGCTCTTCGGATGTTGCCTTGAAACTGAGGTCCCGCTTCTTGTGTATGATTTTGTATCTAATGGTTCTTTGTTCGAAATTCTCCATGCTGATGCAAGCAACGATTTCCAATTGTCCTGGGATGATTGCTTAAGGATTGCATCAGAGGCTGCAGGAGCACTTTATTATCTCCATTCTTCAGCTTCAGTATCAATCTTCCACCGTGATGTGAAGTCTTCGAATATACTTTTGGATGGAAACTACACTGCAAAAGTTTCAGATTTTGGTGCGTCAAGATTGGTTCCTATTGATCAAACCCATGTTGTTACAAATATTCAGGGCACTTTTGGGTACTTAGATCCTGAGTACTACCACACTGGGCAATTAAATGAGAAAAGTGATGTGTATAGCTTTGGAGTGGTACTTGTGGAGCTGCTCCTTCGAAAGAAACCAGTTTTTACAAATGAGACCGGGACAAAGCAAAATTTGTCCAACTACTTCCTTTGGGAAAAAAAGATGAAACCAATTACAGAGATTGTGGCTACTCAAGTTCTTGAGGAAGCAACAGAGGAAGAAATTAACATAGTTGCCTCCCTTGCTGAGAAGTGCTTGAGACTCCGCCATGAAGAAAGACCTACAATGAAGCTAGTAGAAATGACTCTACAATTTTTGCGAGCAGAACGGTTGAACTCAAGAAGTGCTGTTCCTGCGAGCAAACAAGAGTTGGAAGAACTTTTATGTCCAAGCAATTCCTATTCCGACTCATTGGCTTCTGACTCCTTGATGGACAATAAAGCCACTACATCATCCCAACAATCAAAGGGATATTATAGCTTGGAGCAGGAGTTTGCTTCTTCTACTCTGCCGCGTTAGATGTGTAGTGTACACTGTACTTATTCTAGTTATTAATCTGTGTGGGTGGTGTACAGATTAAGTAAAAACTAAAATACTGGAATGACTTTGGTGCGCCTATATGGCCCCCAAACTCGGACGTTGTGTACTTATACGATAATAGCCATGTAAAAAGGTGTTTAAACTGGGTTGTTCGAATGGATATATATGTAAGAAAGGCAACGGTGTATCATGGGCTCCTTGTAATGATGGAAATAATGAAACAAACATGGTTTTGTAACTAGTAAATATGTAACAAATATCCATAGAATTTATCATTTGCACTTAAGTAATTGGTGTCTCTGAATTTGAGTGAGTCTACTATTTTCTTTTACATATGGAAATAATAGTGTGATTAATTGAAATTGACTAATTGTAAAATTACATGTTATTCTGTCACGAAAAAGTATAATAACAACGTGAGCAAACGAAGCAGCCCCTTGAAACGGATTATTACAGATTCTTTAGTTCATTACTTCATTACTAATAAGCTGCCGAAAGCACTCTCTAGTAGTAGATATCATCTTCATCTCTATTCTGCGACAACAAGACTATATGTTGTAGGTTTACTATGCACATTGTTCCTAGTGATCAGGCATTACAGTTCATGCGTGCTGAAAACCATGGTCTGATCACAGGCTCACAGCACCATCCTATTGTCTGGGCTGTCCAGACACCAATGGCAGACAGCAGACTAGATGCTAGATTTTCACATGAATGTCAGTATGCGGTTACCGGTTGAGGTGTGGACTAGTTCTTTCATCCCGTTCTGTGTTTGGAGTCCCTGGTTCAGTCATACCCCAACCTCCCTGTCAGATGCTATTGTCGGATTCCCGTCAGAGTTTTTATGCTTCTCTGTTCAGTTTCAGGTTTCGGTTTGTCCGAGCTGTCATTATTGTTGCACTTGTACCTCATCACTCAGGCTACAAATTTTGCACTGTGCATGTCAACCAATTTTGGAAGTGGGTACTAAGAAAAAAAAAGACAACATGAACCAAAGTAGCTTGCCCAATTCGTGTGCTCTTTCTCTGCAATTTAAGCAGAATAATTAATATTCACAACTCATGTAACATGTCAAAAAATATTACATGTCTGAATCGTTCCTGCCCTGCAATGGAATTCCGGCCCCGGTAGAACGGTAAAAACCTAGTTCAACATATCCATGGAACTGTGTCGATGGAGGGACTGTGTCGATGGCTATAGTTCAACATATCCATGGCTATAGTTCCACTTCCTCAGCGACTGTGTCGATGGAGGGCAGATCGTCATTGAGTTCGTCGAAACTGGTCGGCAACTCGCGGACGTCCTCACCAAGCCGCTCGGCCGTCTTCGACTCACGAGCTAAAGAAGATGATCGGCATGGAGGGGATTCTAGGGTTAGCAGCAGGATTAGGAGAAGAATTGTTAGATAATCTGCTGCATCCCTGTGTGAACACACGGCAGGGGAAGGCAGCGCCGAAAAGGGTCTTTGCTGTGGTACTATAGCCACAGCAGGGGTAGGTGCCGAACGGCTCTCCTACCGCACTGTAGCCACAGCAAGAGCAGGCGCCAAAGTCAGCCCTGCTGTCACATCTAGTTATTGTAGCAGCATGACAGCTATACTAGGACTAGATGGATAGAGTTGTATATATAGTTTGCCACTGCAACTTAGTAAAGAGAGCGAGTTCAATTTTGCCATCTCCTCTGCAGAGCTCTGGCCAACGCTGGTGTTTGTGTTGTGTGTGTGTGCTCTATTCTCCATCCCTTCTTCTACCTCGAGCCAGAGTGTGTGGTCGGACAACGATAGTCGTGGTCGGCAATGCTGGTGAGTGGTCGACTCACCCGTGCCGGAGATCCTGTTGGCTAACAAGTGGTATTAGAGCCTTATAAGCGCCGTCGCCGGACTAACCGCTGACGATGACGGATGTTTTGGAGTTGGGCGACAGCAGTGGCACTGCTGTGGTTGCCCAGCCACGACAGAAGGTCATTGTTCGCACGTTGTGGGAGGTCAGCGACACCAGTTGGCCAACGCTGACTCGCACCAACTATGGCGAGTGGGCAGTGACCATGAAGGTCAAGCTCAGAGCCCGACAGCTCTAGAATGTTGTTGATAAGGGCACCGACAATGAAGAAGACGGCATGTCAACGTTGGAGGCTATCCTCGCTGCAATACTGGTGGAGTACAGGGAGCCATTGGGGATGAAGAGCTCTGCTAAGGAGGCATGGGAGGCCATTGTGGCGATGCGCGTCGGTTCTGACCGCGCAAAGAAGGTGACAGCCTAGCTTTTGAAGCAGGAGTACACCAACCTCAAGTTCAAGGATGGTGAATCGGTGGAGGACTTCTCCCTCCGCCTGCAGATGCTCATCAGCAAGCTGAAGAGCCATGGCATCACCATCGATGAAGAAGAGACGGTCTCCAAGTACCGCTACTCCGTGCCGGCGAAGTACATCCAGATCGCTCTCTCCATAGAGACGATGCTGGACTTATCTACCCTCACCATTGAGGATGTGATAGGCCATCTACAGGCGGTGGACGAGCGCATGGAGCAAGCTACAGCAACGAAGGATAGCGGCAAGCTGCTGCTGACAGAGGAGGAGTGGGCTGCTTGGAGGAACTCTGAAAAAGCCTCCTCCAGCCGCGGTGGCGATGGCAAGCACCGCGGTAAGGCTTCTTTGGAGAAGAAGAAGCAGGTTGACCCCAACGCTTGCCAACGCTGTGGGAAGACGGGCCATTGGGTAAGGGAGTGCCCAAATCGTAAGCAGGAGAAGAAGGCTGAGGCTCATCTAGCGCAAGCTAACGATGAGGATAAGGCCACTATCCTGATGGCAATGTTCTATGCACTGCACGATGTTGGAGGCCGAGGAGAAGGGAGAGGTGATGGTAGTGAAAGGGCCTGAGAAGGCCCTGAAGGCTGTCAACCTCGATGAACCACACGCCCAAATCCTCCTCGGACATGTGGGTGGCGAGCAGGAGTAGCGGTAGTATCTAGACTCTGGCACCAGCAACCACATGACGGGCACCAAGGCAGCCTTCTCTAAGCTCGACGACGATGTGACCGGTACAGTGAAGTTCGGTGATGGCTCAAGGGTGGGAATCCGAGAGCGCGGCACCATCATCTTTAGGTGCCAGAACGATGAGCACCGCATGCTAACGGATGTATATTACATCCCGCAGCTGCGTTCAAGCATCATCAGCATTAGCCAGCTGAATGAGCGCGGGAGCGAGGTACTAATCAAGGACGGTGTCCTCAGGATCAGGGACCGAGAGGAACGACTTCTTGCCAAGGTAAAGAGGTTCCAGAACCGGTTGTACCTACTCGACTTGAAGGTGGAGCAGCTGGTATGCCTGGCGGCATGGCACACCGAGGAACCATAGCTGTGGCATGCTCGATTCGGCCATCTCAAATTTGATGTGCTTGGTCGGCTGGGGAAGATGGTCCAAGGGCTACCCCATATCGAGCACAGAGGCAAGCTGTGTAACAGCTGCCTGCCCAGGAAGCAGAGGAGGCTGCCGTTCCCAAAGGTGGCCAAGTATCGCACGGCGGACGCTCTCGAGCTCATCCACGGTGATCTCTGCGGGCCAATCATGCCAGCCACAAACGGTGGTCGGTGGTACTTCCTCCTGCTCGTGGATGATTGCAGTCGCTATATGTGGCTGCAACTCCTAACGAGCAAGGACAAAGAGGCGGCGGCGATCAAGAAGTTCAAGGCATGCGCGGAGGCCGAGAGCGGTAAGAAGCTGCGCGTGCTGAGGACTGATCGCGATGATGAATTCACTTCGGTGGAGTTCGCTACGTACTGCACGGATCAGGGTGTGGTGCAACACCACACCGCACTGTACTGACCACAACAGAATGGCACGGTGGAGCGGCGAAACCAGACGGTGGTCGGCATGGCTCGATCCATGATGGAGGCCAAGGGCATTCGAACAAGGTTCTGGGGCGAGGCGGTGACCACAGCGGTGTTTATCCTCAACCGCGCGCCCACAAAGGCCTTGAAGGGCAAGATGCCGTTCGAAGCTTGGTATGGGCATAAGCCGAACGTGTCCTTCCTTTGGATATTCGGCTGCATCGGCCACATCAGGAAGACAAAACCGGTCCTCACCAAGCTGGAGGACAAGAGCACACCAATGGTGCTCCTAGGCTACGCACCAATGGTGCTCCTGGGCTACGCGGAGGGTACCAAGGCGTACCGGCTCTACGACCCACACGAAGACAAGGTGCTTGTCTCGTGCGACGTCATGTTCGACGAGAAGGCGGCATCGGACTAGAACAGTCTGAGCACGGGGGAAGCTGGAGGCTTCACCAGCACTTTCGTTGTCGAGCACTTGGTCATCTACGGTGGTGGAGATGTTGGGGAAGAGGTGCCGAGCACTCCAGGAGGGGTGCCAAGCACTCCAGCAATAGAGCCGAGCACTCCTAGAGAGGTGCCGAGCACTCCGGGAGGGGTGCCGAGCACTCCAGGAGTAGAGCCGAGAGGTCCTGCAGTGGTGGCAACCACTCTAGGATGGCTGCCGAGCACTCCCTTAGCGGAGCCAAGAGGTCTTATAGTGGTGCCAACCACTACAAGACTGGGGCTGAGCACTCCTATAGTGGTGCCGACCACTCCAGGAGTGGTGACGAGCGGTCTAGATGTAGTGCCGAGCACTGCAACAGGGGTGCCGAGCACTCCAGGTGTTGTGCCGATCACTCCGACGGAACAGGAAACTCCATCGGTGCCCATCGAGTTTGCCTCACCTCCAAGTGACATCACGGAGTTCGTAGATGCCTTCCACGAAGGTGAGGAGGTGCTGTTTCGCAGGCTGGATGACATCATCGGTGGCACAGGGCCCGTAGGCCTAGCGGGACGGCTGCTCAGTGACCCAGCGCTGCTTCTCGTCAGTGCAGAGGAACCACCCATGTTCGCGCTGGCCGAGCCCGATGCACATTGGCGATAGGCGATGCTGGAGGAGATGAAGGTGATCGAGGACAACGAGACTTGGGAGCTCATGGATCCACCTCTAT